CAGTAGTGGTAACTGGGGTAGGCCGTGGACGTCACAAGACATTATACAGACAGGCTCTGGTATCATGTTTACCCAGCAACGGAGCTCAAAAGTGTGGGATCATTTTAAGAAAATGAAAGAAACCTGTGCAATTCAAAATCTGCAAGGCAGAACTTGCCTTCCACAGCAGTTGTTTTTTGTTAGCATATAGATAAAATCCAACAACCTAATAGCAGCTGCATTCTGGCACGATAAGCTGTATGTTCTATATTCAATTAATGTATGATCCGTTTAGTCGACTAATCGAAAAAATAATGTGTGATTAATCGATTATAAAAATAATTGTTTGTGGCAGCCCTAATATTGACCTGATCATTAATATTAATCTGACATTTTGAACCATTGTTCAGTGTTAACCTCAGTCTCAATATGTTCTATGGAGATGTTAATTGTTTCGCTCAAAGTACTAAAAAAAAAAAACAATCCCTGTGATTTGGATGGTGTTGTCAAAACATGAACAAGTTGCACAACTCCTGGTTCAACTTATTGTCATGTTGTGCATCATTCTCAGGGAAAGGATGTAGCAGTAACTGATAGGAGAACATACTTTGAACATTTTTGGAGTATTTTGAACATGAATCTGATGTCCACTAGCTGTGAAACCTCATTTATTCACGTCTACTGAGGAAACAGTGAAGAATTTAACTTAAAATGTTAATCCACCCAAACATCAGACTTTTTTATGTTTGTGTTATTAATAAAGAACTGGAGGCTAACCAGTACCAGTTACATCCATACACTGATGGGACATACATTGGGGGTGACGTGTCTTGCCCAAGGATGCAACAACTGAGACAGCTGGAATGGGGAATTGAACCGGCAACCTACCGGTTCCAGGATGACTCCCCCTAACCACTCTGCCACAGCCGCCCCAGAGTAACTGGATTTGGTTAAATCATACTGTTTGCTAAGGCGCAACCACCTGGGATACATTAATTTAAAATATCTGCTGCTTAAAAAGTGCAGCTTGAGCTGGTTGGAGCCGACTGAAATGAGCTGTTATCCTGGGATGTTTCTGACCAACTAGCCTCCCACGGTTACACACATAAACATTGCTGCAAAAAATAAAATAAATTTAAATATAAAAGGAAAAAAAAGGTTGGACTACTGGACGTAAAATCCACAACAGCGTTTTAAATAATAAATAAATAAAATTTAACTGCAACGGCTTAAGTGGCAGGCTGACGATCCGCCCACAGAGTGAGGGACACACTGACATGGAGACACACACACAGACCTGAGCAGAACCAAACAAAGTGAGACCTTGCGTCATGGAGAAGGGACTTTAGTGCAACGCCTGGGACCAAAGTTGTGTGGCACCAATAATTTTTTTGTTGGCTGTAGTCCCAACTGCTGTTAGGTCCTTAACCAGCTCCTCTCAGCTGTGATCAGCTGATCACTTACCTTTCTTCATCATCATCATCATCATCATCATCATCATCATCATCATCATCATCATCATCATCATCATCATCATCATCATCATCATCATCATCATCATCNCATCATCATCATCATCATCATCATCATCATCATCATCATCATCATCATCATCATCATCATCATCATCATCATCATCATCATCATCATCATCATTCCATGACCAAGCTCTACCATGGAGCTCTAGACAGAGGAATTGTTGGTCCTTTTAAACTTCCATTTTGAATAATAATGCTGCTGCTACTACCAGCAACAGCTATTTTGATCAAACCTTTGAGAAGGACATGCGACATTGTAAGATGTCAAACACAGAGTATGTGTTGGGAATGATGCTCAATGTTTACTAATAAAACTGACAGAGTTATAGTCAGTTTTGTGTTTATTCTGATCAGATGTGCACAAAGATCCAAATAACAGTAACTTCAGCTTCAAAACTGGTTTGCTTTAAATAACTTAACACACTGATTAGTTTATTTCTTTTGTTCTTGTCTTTTTAATTTTGATCCAGTTTGTTTAGTCATATTAAGATGTTTGTTTGTTTCCCTCTACAGACAATGAGACTGCTGTGTACACTCTGATGCCAATGGTCATGGCTGACCAGCACAGGTAAAGGCCCAGCTTAAATCTAATAGTTCTTTTAACAGAGGTACACATGCATGATCAATTGTGAGTTTTGTTTTACTAAAGGATTTTTTTATGTTTTAATTTTTTGTTGTTTTCTTTTATAGATCAGTGTCAGAGTTGCTACTCAACTCTAAGTTTGATGTGAACTATGCTTTTGGACGCGTAAAGAGAAGCTTGCTGCACATCGCTGCCAAGTAAGAATCACACAACACTCAGTCTGTTTTTCATTTAAGTTAGATCACAATTATACATACATAATAATTATCCTGTCAGTCACTTTGCTGGTAGAGATTCATCATCTTGTTTGTGCAGCTGTGGGTCAGTGGAATGTCTGGTTCTGCTCCTGAAGAGGGGAGCCAACCCAAACTACCAGGACATCTCAGGCTGTACCCCTCTGCACCTCGCTGCCAGGAATGGGTAGGCGTTTATGTACCAAGCCTCGCAACAATACAGCAGTTTAAATGTGTCTCACTTTGTGAATAACAACACATCTTTAAAGTAGGGCTGCGCAGTATATGCGATAGACGGTAGAAATGTTATGAAGTTGGCCTACGGTAGAAATTTACCCTTTACCGTCATATCGTCATTACGTCATCGCACCTGTGTCAGCATGGCTGCGAGTGCAGAGACAACTGAGCAGCAGGAGTTCGAAATATAATGAAGAGATTCTAACGTTTTAAAACATGTATAGAGAGAATAAATCCTCAAAATTTCCTCCTCCCGCTGTAGAAAAGTTACGTCGTGTCGCGGGATCATTTCCTCCTCTCCTCTCGCTGTACGTCGCGCAGAGCGAAGCTTTAACAACTGTAGTTTTTCACACCCAATTGTCAGAGAAAAAAAAAGTTTTTTATGTATTGTTACCCACAGAGATTATTAAAAAAAAGACGTGGACGTTCGTTCAGTCGTAAATTCAACTTGCTAATGTAAATTCGGCTTCTGCTCTGATGATGAAGCTGATGAAGATGAGCGCGCAGCAGAGCAGCAGCTGATAAGTTCAGAAACTCATTGTTTGGCAGGTTGATATTCAAGCAAAAATGTTGGGTTTAATTAAGATTACAGTTCTCTGCAAAAAAAAGCTCTAAAAATTACATTATCTTAACTTTTTATGATAATTTTCTACCGCGATATATACCGTTACTGTGAAGGGGTTCAATTTATACCGTGATATGAATTTGAGGTCATACCGCCCAGCTCTACTTTAAAGTAGGACCGCCACAAACTATTATTTTATTCGATTAATCGACTAATCGGATCATACGTTAATTGAATATAAAACATACAGCTTATCACGTCAGAATGCAGCTGCTATTATATAACCATCGTTAGATTTTAGCTATATGCTAACTAAAAATAATTGCTGTGGAAGGCAAGTTCTGCTCTGCAGATATTGTACAGGTTTCTCTTTCATTTTCTTAAAAAGTTCCCGTATTTTTGAGCTCTGTTGCTGGGTAGCCATGATACCAGAGCCTGTCTGTATAATGTCTTATGACGTCCACGGCCTACCCCAGTTACCACTACTGTGCTTGTGTGTCAAGGACAGAAAGGCAGATGTGGCAGTGGAAGGTGTCAAAGCAGTTTGGAGAGATAAACAAAGTAAAGAACAACAACAACAAAAAGAAAACGATTAATCGATTATTAAATTAGTCATCGATTATTTTAATAATCGATTAGTCGTCGATTAATCGATTAATCGTGGCAGCCCTACTTTAAAGCATTTCATATTTAGACCTAAATGTTTTCTATGTATATAAGATCATAAGGTCATTAGGATTTCTCAGCTCCACAGAGGAGGAGATGAGCTATGTTTGAGATGTCTAAATATTTAGACATTTTCAGCCAGTCTGATGAAAATCACAATAATCAGCTATTAATGTTAGCATTAACCTGCTCTGTATGCTCCTGCTGCAATAGTGTACTTCTATACTTTTACTGAACCATGTGCCATGTATCCAGGGTACTATAAGGTGAATTAAAAACTACTGTAATTTTGATTTTTTTTTAATGACTGTACAAAATGTCTAATGATATAGTGCAGAGATAGTCAATTCTGGTCCTCGAGGTCCGCAACCCTGCACGTTTTACTTGTTTCTCTGCTCCAAAACACCTGATTTGAATGAATGGATGATTTTCAGGCTTCTGCAAAACTTGGAAGAGGTGATTCCCTGACTGAATCAGGTGTGTTAGAGAAGGGAAAAAAGTAAAACATGCAGGGCTGTGGACCTCGAGGACCAGGATTGATTATCGCTGATATAGTGAATACATAGTGGTTGAGTGGAGAAATCGATCACAGCCTTTGTTTATGATTTTTTTTTCTGAAATAAGATTTTTTTCTCCCTAAAAACATAAAAGCAGACATCTTTGATTATTCAAAACTAAATTCTGCATTTATTTAATTTCAGTCATGCAATTCAAGCATCATTCTGTGCAATTAGTTTAATTTTGTAACAACACCGTATTAAAGCATAAAATGACTATTTTTTTCCTGTAAATATTTAAAAAGAACATCAAAGTTCCGTCTTTTCCAGAATCTAAAGTTTGCATGGGGGAATCATATTGAGTCCTTTCATTAGAGAGCGCTGATGTCTTTTCATCTCAGTGGTCTAATGTTGATTTTATACTAAAAAGTTTTATAAAAGTAACTTTTCTGCTTCATGAGAATCACCATGATTTCTTATTAACAACTTAGGTGGCTCACCTGACTGAAGTTTAACATGTCAGTGAGTAAAATCAACATGTGGTTTGCTTGTATGAGAGCTGCCTTATATTAAACATATAACCTGTTATTCTGATTTCTCCTGCAGTTTTTCCAGTATTTTTTTTTCAGACCTCTTGGGGTTTCAAACAAAGCATGCAGTTGTATCTGTTGAAAATGTATACACCATCTTTTAAAGAAAGAAATATTTCTATCCTCTGATATTAGTTGGTTCCTGTTTAAAGTTACATAGTAAAAGTAAAGAAGATTTTATAACAGTTACAGTATGTTGTCTCAGCTTCAGTTTGAAGATATGGTTTATCAAGTCTTACACATTAGTTGAATGAAACAGGCTGAGTTCATTCTGAAATCTTCGCTGTCAGATTATTTTCTCGGATGTAGTTGTTTGTGAAAACTGACACGACGTTAGTAACTGCCTGTGTACGGATCTTATTAAGCAGCATTGTTTTCCACTCTCCCCTCAGACAGAAGAAGTGCATGGCTAAATTATTGGAATATAATGCTGATGTCAACATCTGCAACAACGAGGGACTGACTGCTGTGAGTCAACTTTCATCTTGTTTACCTTTTAATTTGTTAAAATCTTGTTTTTTACAAACATGTTTGAGTTTATTGTGAAAAGACTTTGTAATGATGTCACACTGAGGTAAAGCGGGCTCTGTCTCTATCATAAAATGAATAAAGCGACTTGAGAGCTGACTAGCTGTTTGACACTAACATGTGCAGGTGTCAAAGTACAGCTATGCTGCCCCAGAATTACAGGAACTAATTTGAGACATATTGGAGACGCTGATGACAACTTTGCTACTAATTGAGTGAAAATTTGGCACAAGTTGTTTAAACTTGTACCGAATTCAAGCAACATAACTGTTTGCTTCCGTGACTCAAAATGCAAGGAAACCGAGAACGCTCAGGGATATTTTGAAACATTTTGGAGACTGCCTTGCAAATGCTGTTCATCAACGAGTGTCCAGCAGTTGCAGCCCAGTCAGACACTGCCTTTAGTTAGGATAAAGACTGAAACTGTGATTTTGTTCTGCAGATCCACTGGTTGGCAGTAAATGGGCGAACAGAACTCCTGCATGATCTGGTCCAGCACGTCTCCAATGTGGACGTGGAGGATGCCATGGGGCAAACAGCACTGCATGTAGCATGTCAGAATGGCCACAAAACGGTAAGCTATTTCCGTATTTAGACTAGAAAATGTAGCCTTTCTGGTCCGAAGTCGACTGCCCTACCATTGCTCCACAACCGCACCTAGACAGATTGTGAACAAAAGACTCAGTAGTATGAGCTCACTCAAAAAACTAAAAAATAAATAAAAAACTGCATATTTGCAAAACTACAAACAAATAACATCTGTTTGCATTGAACTATTGGAAACAGTTTCCAAACATGTCTGTTTTTATAAGCTTACAGCACATAGCTATGATGCAGTTATAAAGCAGTCATTGATGCATCAGTTATCTTGAAACTTAACTGACTATAGCTTATTTTATATAAAACATGGATTTATTAAATTTCATGCATAATAAAGAGTGAATAATAAGTATGTAAAAAAAACCTAAGAAACCACAGGCGTGGGTGCTATCTTAACATTGAAAATATTGTAGAAAAACTGAGATTAGTATCGTGCTTATCACTGAACCATTTTGTTTGTGTAAAAATCCTCAGAGTCATTACTTGACAGTTATGTTTTTAAAACTTCAACTAATACAGCCAGGCATAATTTAGGAAAAAGACAACTTTACTTCAACATGTTTCTACTGTAGGAAACTACAGTAACTCTGTTGGAACAAACAGCACAGCAGTGCTCAGCAGTTATCCTGCTGAGACTCTTAAAGAGGCAGCACAGATTGTTACCAAAATACATTTTTGACTTTTGAAAAACAATTGACACTTTGTCATGTCTATAACACATCTAAACTAGAATTTTAGCCCCCATTAGTGATGCATTTACTAATTGGTTGATGCTGGCCGTTTAAAAACAAACAAACAAACAAACAAACAAACAAACAAACAAACAAACAAACAAACAAACGGCACCAGCTGTAACAACAAAAACCTAAAATACTGTTTAGACCTGGCACTAACATCTATCTTGAGCCATCTGATCTCATCTCGGTGCTAATAGCAGGTGAACGCTCTCCATCCACTCTGCAGACGTCTTCTCTTAGACCCTTTGAAAGAGTTGGAACCATTCTGAAAATCTTTAACCCTCATTAGTTTTCTCTGAACGCAGACCTCCTTGAGCCCCATATAGGACCTCCTACAAGACTAACAACAACCCTACAGAAACATCTGAGAGATTCCTGGATCTCTCTTGGTAATAAACAAAACAAACAAAAATCTTAAACTGCTGGCTCATTAAATGCAAATAAACAACTGTCCTTCGGAATATTTTGACAATATAGTTTATTTTATTAAGTAAAACGTTAAGTTTTAATAAAGTGTTTATCAGAATTGCTCTCAGTGGGGGGAAAAAACTCGGTTTTGTTAGTCATAGCACTCATTGGTTTACCAGGATTTTAGTTTTTCTAGTTTGTTCTGAAGTTTTGAAAATGTTTGTTCGGTTTCTGCTAATGTAATGTCTCCCTCTAGTGACGGCCTTTGTTTGGCTCTGTGGCCAGAGAAGGAATTTTAACAGATGCAAAAGAACTGATTCTTTTTCCTGTGTTTGGATGTGTAGAACACCTGACAAAATGTAGCAAAAAATTTAATTGATCTTTGTATTTGTGACCAGCTTATAATTAAGTATTGATGGAATTTAATTACCGGTACTAGTTTGCGTCCAGTTCTTCTCCTTCACCTGCTCTTTCACCTAGGTCAGAGTATTTTTGGTTTGTAGAAAATAGATTGAACTGGATCTGCTGCAGCTCGGTGGTCAGTTCTGTGGTCCTGCAATCCTAAGGCTGCAGCTTTAAGCCCAGGCTGGGTCAAAAGGACATTCAGTGTTAAAAAAAAATGCACTTTTTATTTTTACGAGTTCACTTGCTATGGGGACCCCTGAAAAGGGAGCAGCCCAAAGAAAAATGACAACAAAATAGAGTGAACTCTGCCCTTTTCTACAGAATGTTGTCAATCTCATATTTTAACTTTATTTCTCGTGTCTTTGTCATTTTATGTTTTTTTCTTGATGTCCTGTTTGTCCTTCACAGCTTTTTATTCTGGTAGGTAAATTCAATAAGACGCCTCTTAAGTTTTAAAAGAGGCCCAAGCTACTTCATCATCGTCAATCAACCTGGAGCTAATCAGATTCAAGATGGCCAACACAGCTAACTGATCTTAGAAAACACAATAATTCAGTTAATTTCATAGATAATGAGCTAAAGCTTGATGAGGTAACACCTGAGTCATTCACAACCCATTCGTAAAGCGTGACATCGCGTGGTATCACATGAAATCATGATTAACATTTGACCAAAACGGATACAACTAAATCATTTCTCATCATCAGTGTTTCAGTCTAAAACTGTAACTTGAAAAGAAGTGGGCGGTATGCATTCTTTCAAGATATAATTGGCCCTTTACTCTGAATACCGACTAAAATGTCAAGCTTTTCATTGTTGTTTTGTTGTTATCTGCTAGTATGTTTAAAATGTTCTCAGTAAATAATGTGAAATGTACCCTGTGTGCACAGACGGTGTTGTGCCTTCTTGACAGTGGAGCGGACATCAATCGGCCAAATGTCTCTGGAGCCACACCTCTTTACTTTGCCTGCAGGTCGGTCATGCTGCAGAAAAAACATCTCACTTCAGTTGCTTCCATATTATTGTGTTCAAGGTGTAAACAGCTATCCCTAAGCATCTCTACTTTCACTTCTTGCTTTGCTTTCCCTGCTTCATTGCCTTGTATCATTAGAAATGCTAGATTGCACTGTTCAGTATGTGTTCTGCTTTGTTTGTTAGTACAGTGTGCTTAAACTTAAACTAGAGAAATTGTCATTTTCTTCTAAAATGCAGTTAAGTATAAAAAGCTAAAAGTAGCTCAATACTAGCTTAAAGTAGCAGAATGGTAGCTAGATGCTAAAAGATGCATGGATAACTAAAAGCAGCAAATGGGTAGTCAGAAGTCTATGAAGGCTAGAAGTATCAAATCCTTGGTCAAAAGTAGCGGATGACTTGATAAAAGATACAAGTCGCAAATATCTATCTAAAATCTAGTAGCAAACGGTAATGAAAAGCTAAATGTAGCAGAAGTCTAACTAAAAGCAGCAAAAAGGTACAAGTAGCAAATGGCTAACTAAAAGCTAGTAACAGAACCAGTATAAAAAGCTACATGTAGTAAATGGCTAAATAAAAGCAGCAAAAAGGTGATTCAAAGCTAAAAGTAGCAGAAGTGCAACTAAAAGTTGAAAGTAGCAGAATGGTAGCTAGGGGATAAATTATGCAAAGTGCTAGATAAATGTAGCAAAAAGCTAGTTAAAAGCTGAAAGTTGCAAAAGGCTAGCAAAATGCTAAAAGTAGCATAAATGATTGATAAAAGTAGCAGTAAGGTAGCTAAACTTTCCGATATATGAATGGCTAAAAAACCCACAAAGTATGCAGAAGTATTGAAATTAAGACATCTGTTTTTAAGCAAGGTTATTTTATTGAGAATGCTGACTTTGCAAATCACAATAAATTTTTTTTTCCAGACTAAAGTTGTTCTGTGTTTTTTTTTCTTTAGCCATGGCCAAAGAGACACCGCACAGATCCTGCTCTCTCGAGGTGCCAAATACCTCGCTGACAAGAATGGAACCACTCCTCTGGATCTCTGTGTGCAGGTGGCTTTTCAACTTGATTTGGGCATTTTGTTTGCTGCAGTTTCCCTGCTAATCGTGTCACTTTTAGGGTGGGTATGGGGAAACCTGTGAGATTCTCATCCAGCATCATAGCAGGCTGTTCCAGACGCTCATCCAGATGACACAGAATGAAGACATGAAAGAGAACATGGTAATTAGTTTGTAAAGGTACTGGACCGGCCTTTTGTATTAATTTTACCTGAGGTGAGGGCTTTTTGTGTGTGTGTGTGTGTGTGTGTGTGTGTGTGTGTGTGTGTGTGTGTGTGTGTGTGTGTGTGTGTGTGTGTGTGTGTGTGTGTGTAGCTTCGGCAGGTTCTGGAGCACGTCTCTCAGCAGAGTGACAGTCATTACCACAGGGTCTTGATAAGTCTCGCAGAAGTGGCGACCACCAACGGTCACAAACTTCTCAGGTAGAATTTGATTGATCTTTCTTTCTTCTGCTTTCTGGTGTGATGCAATAAACCTTTATTTCATCTATATATCAGTTCAGATCTGCAGTCAGGATGGGATTTGACTTATTCTACATTAAATGAGATCAAAGATTTTATTCTGATGTACAGTATGTGCTGAAGTCAGTCAAATTCATTATAGCCACCAATGCTAATTAACCTTGGCAAACACTAAAATAACTCTTTGTTAATTTTCTGAAATTAAGCTGAAATTAAGAGTTAGTGTGGTGATAGTTGAGTCATTCACACACTGCAAAGACTACACATTTCACACTGTTTAAAACTTACATTACAAACAGCCATTAGCTTATCGAGTCAACCCCGCGTGTTCACAAAATATGTTATGATTTTAGTTAAACCCTTACAAAATTATCATTGGATGTACATCTACAACAGATTAACTTTGGAGTCAATACAGGTCAAGATGGCAGTCAAGGCTAATCAACATTAGTTAGCAAAAATGGCTACAACTCAGTCAATTTAACAGACCTTGAGCTAAATGGTGTGGTAGTAGCTGGGAATTGTTAACACACACACTGTGAGCATTATATTCCATGAAATCACATCAGATTACATAAAATGTTATTTTCAGGGTTTGAACAAGATAGTTAAAACCATCATTTCTTATAAGATGATAAGTTAGTTTAAAAATTTGGCATGAAAGTTGAGAAATTCTCTCTTGCGGTTTCTGTTCTACTAAACCTTTATAGTCTAAATATTATAGTATAGTGTAGTATAGTATTATTTATAGTATAATATAGTTTACTTTGTGCATGTTGAATTAGAAAAGAGTCTTTCTCACACATTGCCTCAAAGTTAGAAGCAGAACATCATCCAAAAAGTCTTGGTGTGCTTAAGTGTTGGGGTCATTCATCATCATGCAGCTACGTATTCCACTAAAAGGCCCAGCGTGCTTCATCTGAAGCACAACAGTCGACACGTGGTTGCTCAGCAATCATTTTTGCTCACACCTTTCACAGCCCATAAGACACTTCAACGAGCTCTTTGGAAACCCGACCCCACTCCGATATCCACTGTTACTTTGGCCACAAATCTGTCATGGTTAAAGTGCCACACTTTGCAGGCTGATTTCTTCCATGCACAACGTCTGTGCTCTCTCAATTCATGAGTTTTGCCCATTTGACAATCTTTAGAAATGTCTGATTTCAGGTAGTTAAGCAAAATACAGTGTCCAAGCACTTTCAGCATAAACAAACATGCCTACGTACTTCTGAAATATCACACAATATGTGTTCTTAAGAACAATGGGCTGCATGCAAGAACATGTTCATATTCTTATCCTAAATTTCTCTTACTTTTGTTCGCACAAAGGGTTCGTATGAACATGCCACGTCAGATTGAACAAATTCTTCTATCTTCAGGAAAAGTGTGTAAATGAGCTGCGTAAACATGATGATTTCCACCTGTTTGTATCCAGCTGCTCGTGCATGCGAGTGTAGATTAGCATAATTACCACCCCAAAAGCACCATGTAAGGATATGTTTCCTGCCTCAGATATCAGAAAGTGTCCATTCATGAAAATGACAGCGAAAAGTAAAAAGAAGAACTTTACGAGTTCGGAGATTAAAGTCCTGCTCTCCAAGATTGAGAAAAGAAAATCAGTCCTTTTTAGCAGCGTCAGTTGTGGAATTAAAGGAGCTGCTAAAACCAAAGAATGGAATGAAATAACTACTGCTGTTAATGTCGTGTCTCCTGTGGGTCGTAGGGCCTGTACAGTCACAGAAATAAAAATCTAAATCATATTAATTTCTCTCTCTAGTCTTGCTCCGGTTTTGCTTTGGTCAAATATTTTTAATTTAAGTGTAAGCAACTGTGTTACATAGTTTTCATTTATTCAGAAGAAGAGCAGTCGCGCACCGCTACAGTTCAAGAATTTTGTGAGCAGTTAAAGCATTAAAAGCCAATTCAATTCAATCTAATCACTTTATGTCGTCAGTTACATTTAAAATCTAATTCCAGTTCAAACAGATCAGCCTCTTGTCAACATAATTATGGAGTGTGATTTATTTTCAACGCGAAATATCTTCAAACTAATGAAATATGAAGTAATTCGTGATAAAAATCTCTCTGGATAACAGCAGACTGACTGCTCGTAAAATATATGACAGGTCTGGACCACTCGTGAATTTTGTTTGTGTCTGAAAAAAAAACTTAGAATATGAGAAAATTGGTGAATGCCACAAGTTCTCCTAAATCACTCGTACGCACAATTTAAGAACAAATCTGTTCGTACGAACGGTTCTTGCATGAGGCCCAATGTTCTTAATAGTAACAACTGCTGCATCATCTAGACCACCAATGCTACTTACATTTCTGTGTTCCCAGGTAAAACCAAAACTTGGCTATCAGGTTTGCAAAGCACAGAGTGAGTTGTGGTTGAAGGTTAGAGGACAAAGGTTTTTCTGATGACATGATAAATATTACTCTAGATATGACACTACATTACACTACAAAAAGCTCTTCTAATATTTCAAAGACTCCTTTTTTATTTTCAAGATTTCATACAATAGATTATCACTGAATAGACCATTACAAACACATTTAATAAGATGCCTACTCTTGCAGCACTCCTGGTTGAATTGTGAATCATAAAAACCAATTCCTTTCAGGTGACAAAGTGGTTGTGATCTTTTATGTGCGCTTTGATAGTTACAGTGTGCATTTTGTTTTGTATTTTCAGCCTGTCCAGTAGTTATGAAGCTCAGATGAAGAGTCTGTTAAGAATCGTGCGTATTTTCTGCCACGTGTTTCGCCTTGGTCCTTCATCCCCCAACAATGGCAATGACATGGGATACAATGGCAACAAGACACCTCGCAGTCAGGTCTTTAAGGTCAGTAGGAGATGAAGATTAACTTTACTGTGTGAGTGTGTAACGTCTGTATGTGTGCTAATATAACATTTAAATCATTTTCCTCATTTAGTAAAGATCCTTGTAAACCCAGCTCTGGCCTTTACAGACACAGGCAGAACACATAATCCCTTAAGGGAGATGGGCTAGTCACAGTGGCAGACAAGTTTAAAATTAAAAGCAATAACAAAACTTATAAAACTGAAAAGTAACCATTGAATAAGACCTTCCTCTTGTGGTTTAGATATTATTTGTCCAACAATCATTTTCAGTGAATATGGGGGAATGCGCCTCAATCTGCTCCTATTTGTTGTGGTGTACCTCATGGGTCCATTTTGGGTTCTATTCTTTTTAATATGCTATTGTTGGATCAGTATTCAGAAAGAATATTTCCTTTTATTTTTGATGAAATCCAAAAATAATTTGTTTTTATGTTTGCATGTCTCTTCCCTGCCTTAGCCTCTGTGAACTGTAGACAGTTTGTCAAAAACTGGTTAGTTCAGAATTATTAGGGGTCCAAGCCCATGAAGACAAGAAGTGATGTAGAAACTCTTCTGTTTATTATTTCCTGTTTTTTAATTTTTTTCTTTCTATGATAAAAGCCCTCTTTCAGCCCAGATTGCAAGAAGTATTAAGATGATTTTCACTGTACACGCTGGCAACCAGAAAATGCGTATCTACCTATAGGCGGTCCTATCATTGAGGTCTTTGCATTTGGTCCTGTAAATTGTAAACCTTATACCACACAATTTAATGCCTTTTATTTACATGTTCCACACACTCTACTGAATCACATGATAAAGGCTATGCCCATTTCTGCTTTATTTGTTTTTGACTGATTTTCAAAGATTTTAAACTTTCATCATTATGAAGCTCACCATCTTTAGTGCGGATGGCATTTTAAATGTACATTCAAGGACAAGTAGTTATTTTTTAAAATGTGTACATCTTGCCTAGGCAGATAGTTTCAATTCAGTTTCAGTTCATTTTATTTATATAGCGCCAAGTCACAAGATACATTGTCTCAGGGCACAGTACATAAAAAAAAAAGAACAATCTAAAGAAGAAGCCAGCAGATTGTGTTGAATCACTTCATCACAGTCTCCCATCCTGAGCAAATGGTGGAGAGGAAAAACTCCCTGCTAATCAGGAAGAAACCTCCAGCAGAACCAGGTTCAGGACAGGCGGCCATCTGCCTCGTCCGGCTGGTTGAGGGACAGGAAAGAGACACAGGTAAACACAGAAGAACTGGTCCAGGACTGGTCCAGGTTTACCTTCTTCTGAAAAAGAGACAAAAAGAAAAAAAAACATGTTATTGATAGAAATAATTACAATAAACATGTAGAGAAGAGAGACCAAAGACAACAGCAGAGTGAGGAAATGTGCTCAGTTTGTGCTCCAGCAGTCTAAATCTATAGCAGCAGAAATGAAGAATAATTCAGGAAACCCAAGTCTAACTATATGATTTATCAAAGAGTAAAGTCTTCAGTCTAATCTTAAAAGCAGACAGAGTGTCAGCCTCGCGGACAGAAACTGGAAGTTGGTTGGTCAGTGTATCTTTTGGTCATTGGATTTTCATTTTGGAAACAGGTATTAAAAATCAATAAACAAGTTATTTGATATTTGTTTTAAAATATAGAAATTAAAATTAAAATACAAAGCTTTTCTCATTCTTAGTGTCAAAAAGAGATGAACGAAATTTTTAAAATGACTTGAGTTTCATTTTCTGTTTCAGATAGCAAAAGAGAAAATAACTTTAAAACAGAAATGAAAAAAGGCTTGTTTGTTATTTTACGACTATCTATTCCCCCACCCCCACCAGAAGGGGCGCTCGCCTGGCAGCTTTGCGTAATAAAACACAAATTTCTGTGAATAAAAGGCTGAAACACAGACATGTGTGTCCATAAATGAGTTGTATGATGACTGTTGCTCTGTGACCAAAGGCTTTGCAGAGGTACTTTGTGTGGCTTTTGGCCAAATAAATCTCTTTTACTGAATACATGTTGGCTACTGCCTCCACTTCACCTCCATTTCTCTCAATAAAAAGAAATATATGACAACTTTCATTCTATTAGTGTGTTGTACAGTTGTTGTTGTGTAAGTAGAAGTTTTTTTTCCCATCCTGAGTTTTGACAAAATCTGTGCTTTTTTCTGTCAGTTCGCATCCTCAGAATGCTCCTTTCAGCGAAGGGTGGGCGATACTACAACTTTGATATCGATCTGATACCAAATAAATACTTAGCAAATATATTCAATACTGAAGTCAGTATCAATGCTTTTTTTACTTGTAATGGGATGTTCATTGAATAACTTTGATATTGCGAGCACCCCTACTAGTGGTGAAACAGATTATTTTAGGGATACAGTAAAGTTGGCACGACTTGTCGTAGAATATGAGCAAACAAGGCTTTTTTCATTTCTGTTTTAAAGTAATTTTCTTTTTTGCAATCTGAAACAGAAAATGAAACTCAAGTCATTTAAAAAATTTTGTTCATCTCTTTTTGACGCAAAGAATGAGAAACACTTTGTATTTTGATTTTAATTTCTATATTTTTAAACAAATATCAAATAACCACTTGTTTATTGATTTTTAATACTTGTTTCCAAAATGAAAATCCAATGACCAAAAGATACACTGACCTTGGTTCCACAATAGAGGAGCTTGATAACTGAAAGCTCTGCCTCCCATTTTATTTTTAGAAACTCGAGGAACCACAAGTAAACCTGCAGTCTGAGAGCGAAGTGCTCTGTTAGGAAAGTATGGAACAATAAGACGTTTAATATATGATGGAGCTTGGTTGTTAAGAGCTTTGTATGTTAGGAGTAATATCTTAAATTCTATTCTAAATTTGACAGGGAGCCAGTGGAGAGAAGTTAAAACTGGAGAAATGTGATCTCTCCTTCCAACTCTCAGTAAAACTCTAGCAGCAGCATTTTGGATTAACTGAAGACTTCTTAAAGAGTTTTTTGGATGCCCACGAAGGAAATTTTGTAACTGATTGAATGTTAGATGCAGTATTGTATTTTATACTGTCTGATCATTTCAGCCTGTAAGGTTGAAGCAGACACAGAGTTGGTGTGTGTCTTATCATGTGTTCTTTCTTTAGTCTAAACAAAATGAGTGACATTCTGACATCTGATGTAAAAGGTAACACCTCCAGGGATGTAACCAGGAAGAAATGAACATTATAAGGTCAATTCATTATTATAGTAGAGGGAGAAGATGTGAGTGTGTTGGAGTCTCTGCTCAGAGCAGAGCTGCTCTGTTTTGTTTGGGTTTTTATCTCAAGGTCTTACACTGAGGCCTGCTGAGTGCTGTACCTGATTGAGTCAGAAGATTGAGAATAAAGTTTTGACAAGAAATCCAGTTGGATTCCTGTTTATTCGAACATACCATTTTGAACAACACACATTTTTCTTCACCCAGATAATAAACAATTACAGTAATCCAGCCTAAATATGATAAATGCATGAATCAGTTTTTCTGCATCACTTTTGGACAAAATGTTTCTAATTTTAGTGATATTACGAAGGTGGAAGAAGGTGGTCCTGGTAACATTTTTAATGTGGGGGTTAAAAGACACGTCCTGATCAAAAATAACGTCCTGATCAAAAATAACACCAAGGTTTCAGCATGGTAGCTAAACACAAATGGGCTGATATATATTCAGCCATATATTTTAAACAATAATAGCTGATAGGATGAAATTAATATTGCTGTTGTGGGACTCAATTCGGAGTTAAGGCTGGGTTATAGTCGCGCTTTGGGTTGTTGCGCAAGCTCCGCGGAGTGCACGCGCTCCTGAGCCACGCCCTGTGTGAAAACATAGTTGGCATTCATGTTATCGCTGCTCTTCCGTCACCGACAGATGGCAGTACGGTGCCAAACCAGCGGAAAAGTAGTTGGGAAGAGTGTAGAAGAAGAAACGCTTGACGTCACACATAACAAAGTAACAATTTTTACCTCTTTTTTTATATTATCTGTTTCTCTGTGCTTCACGAGCTGAGAGAGCAACACTGGTTTGTTTCCTCCAGGATCACAAACCGGTCGCAAATATTTTTCCATGTCGTCCGACATATTAACTCATCTTTCTTTAAAGCCGTTGCTATTTCCTCCTATGAGTTTTGTGCCATCTGGTTGTCTTTATGATCTCTCATGGAGGGATCATACAGATGCTGGTACATTCTGACCTGTTCAGCGAGAGCACCTTCGACGAGTGGCGCGCACCCTTTGCGGAGCTCCAAAATTTCTGAGGTGCACGACCACGCGTCAGGACACAACGCGCGGGGGCGGGGATGCCGCGATTGCGTAACTTTTGACGCAAACCCCCTCGCGCCCTGTGCGTCTCGTCAACTATAACCTAAGCTTTAGTGGACCAGATTTTAAAATATTTTCTTCATAGGGGGCACTAGAATCTCCAAAGTAATACCCACCAAAATGGCTTGTTGGATCTTTATGAAATTTGGCACAGAAATTTAGAATATTGCCCTGGATTCAAACCTAAAGGTAATAGTGCTTAAGTAAAGTGGGCATGGCCTATGGCCTCTCAAAGATAAAAATCCCACAGATTTTGAGAAGTCTTTCATGGGGCAAATAAAGTATGCTAACTGCTGTATAACAACAAACCCAAGCAATTTTTAGGTGGTATTGTGGTTAAAAGTTTTTTTTTCAGCTGGGTGTAGGTTTTAGTTTTTGAAAGACACAGATTTTACATGTAATGCTCTGCTGATTGTTGAATCTTTTGACCCTCCCTGCTTTTCATTTTCTGTGTTCCTGCAGCCCTTGGAGCTGCTTTGGCACTCTCTGGATGAGTGGCTGGTGCTTATTTCTAAGGAGCTCGAAAGGAGCAGGAAAAACCCATCTTCCTCCTCTTCTAGCACAGAGATAGCATCTCTTCTTCTGAAGCAGCGGGAGTCTGACCCATCTGACTCCACGTCAAAGCTCTCCTCTTTCCTGGATAACCAGATCGTCATGGAGGAGGCCTACGCTGATGGGGAAGACGTGATTTCCATGACAGCCAATCGACTTAGTGCTGTTATCCAGGCCTTCTATATGTGCTGCTCATGTCAGATGCCACAAGGGTCAGTTCTCAGCCTTTCATTTTCATGACTTAAGTTAGCAATATTCTGCAGCATTTGTATCCATCCTTACATATGATAGAACCTCAGTACTATAACCTAAACATTTAGCAAGTCAGACTTTGACTCATCAGCTTAATTTCATTTGTAAGAATCATTTTAGCTTTGTATGTTTAGCGCAGTGTTTCCCAAAGTTGGGGTCGGGACCCAAAGTGGGGTCCCGAAACATCAAGGTGGGGTCCTGAAAAGATTTTCTGAATTAATTACATTTTTGCCTTAGTTGTTACAAATTACTGAGGTTAGTATATTGAAAATGGATAAATGTAGTATAATAAACGTTACTATGCCCATGTTTTGTTGACCTGATACAAATGTTTATCATCCAAAAATAGTTGGGGGCACAGGTCTCTGCTACTGTTTTGTACTATTTTGTGGGTCAAAAGCTGAAAAGTTTGAGAACCACTGCACTTTGGTTCCCAAAGTTGGGCTTGGGACCCAATTATGGGTCATAAAGTACATTGGATAATCTCCAGAAATCAATTTAAAGGGTAATAAAATAATTGCTGGTGTAAGATTTTCCCTATAATTATTACAAAAACACAAAATAAGTAAAAATAAGTATTTATATTTGTGTACAAGCTGTTTAGATTGTCAAAAAGCCTGTGTTTTTAGGGTTATTAACGAAGTTTGTGAACTCAGACCAGTAATATTTGGGGTCACACGGATATTTTGTGGGTCAGAAGATAAAAAGTTTGAGAACCACTGGTTTAGCGCACAACTTTCTGATCTTTCTGTTCATCACACAGCACTTAAATGGTACTTTGGCATTGAGCTTACAGCAAATGATAAGTGTCAGGTCGGGTTGGACAATAAAATAAAAAAAGCAAAACAGTCAATTACTTCACAGAGCTCAATGTAAGAGCAAAGGTTGAAGATTTTATCCGGTAAAACTCCTCCACAGGTGAGCTGACTGAAGACGAGTTGTTTTATGGCTTCAGTGCAAACGTAACATCAGCTCCATACTCATTTAGGTGAATATAATGCAACATTGATCGATGACTGGCAGCACATTACGGCTTACAGTGTTACACAGCTATGGTCCAACAATTCTAAAACAATTAGAAAAACATTAAACTAAGGATGAACTCACCACAAAATGTCCTGGAATCCACTTTTATTAATAACATCCCAACAAATCACACCACCTTTAAAAAAATAAAATAAATAAATAAATCAGGACATTAAGACATTAAAGTAGACATGTCATGTTTTTAAATCCTTCCTTTTCACATTTAAATCACTCGGGATCTTTATTTTTCAGCCCACTCAGAAAACTGAGTGGGCTGAAAAATATGACCCAAACACAATATAAAGATATATTTCAGCACCAGGAGAGACTAATTTAAACTTTTCTGCCTCCTAGAGACTCCAAGTCTAAAATAAAATGTATTTAACAGTTTAAAAAGTGGATTTTGCTTGTCACCGTTTTTAAGAGTTGAAAAAAAGACTAAATGCAACTATATCTTCAGAATATTTCCAAAGTTAGCTGTCTGATTATCTCTAAAAAGCTGGCAGTGACATAATACAAATAAACGTGACATCCGCCCTGCTGCCTGTTTGGGCTCACTTCAGGAAGTCCAAGAATTAAAGATTGAGATGGATTGTGCTTCAGTTTACCAAACATATCTGAATACAAGTGGTTCAAATCACCTCTGAAGGTGGTTTGAGTGAAAAAGTTTTCAATGCATTTTAAGAGTTTTTAGACCTGCATTTAGTTCTATCGGATTACTTAAAATCATTTTAAATGACAGGTCTGAACAATTCCTCAGAAACACCACTGCTGTCATCTGCAGTACAGGGATTTGCCTGAGCAATTGTATGTGAAACGTGTGTACAACATGGGTCTCTTGACACTCATTTGTCATGTTTTGCAGAAGGGCAAAGGGTGGGACCAGGGCATCTTGGCAAAATTAGAGCTGTCACCACTGGGAAATACCTGGCCTGAAATGACTTAAGTTATTCTGGCGTTGAGAGCTGACTGGTGTGATGACAAGGTGTCTAATGTAGACAGGTTCTTCCTGCAGGCATATTGGTGTGGTTAATTTAAACCTAAACGGTCAGGACCAGCTAGTCAAAGCATTTCATAAGGGGCCACAGCTACCACGGGAAAGTTGTTCCACACTGACTTTATATGCAGACGTAAAGCCGTTCTGTTTCTGTTTCCTCTTCCAGAATGACTTCACCTCGTTTTATAGAGTTTGTTTGCAAGCACGATGAGGTGTTGAAGTGTTTTGTAACCAGGTGAGTCAACATGTCTCTTTGCCTAAAACGTCTCTCAACTCATTACAGAAAGATTATCAGTTCTAAATTAATTTACTTTTATTGTTGTCTTTTGGTGGTCTTACATTTTTCTCTCATTTTTGCTCTTTTTCTTTCCAGGAATCCAAAAATCATCTTTGACCATTTTCATTTTCTGCTCGAGTGTCCAGAGTTGATGTCACGCTTTATGCACATCATTAAAGGCCAGGTAAAACAGAAACCCAGAGGTACAAATAAATTGAAAGAACTGAATCACTGGCTGCCTTTCATTTTAGACCGAGATCATTTTATGATGAGAAATGATGAAGTTGTAGTCGTTTTAGTCTAACTCGATGGTCTTATTTGAAAAAGTCAGATTTGTAACATTAAAGACCGTGTAAAGTAAAATTAAATTTGTGTTTTGAGTTTGTTACACGACAGAAATATGTCTTATTAATAACCCATCTAAATTTGACTGATTAAAAGCGTTGTTTACTGTATAAAATTAAGTCTCAAAAATAATGAAAAACATCATTGGCCCTGTTCTGAAAACACTGGGGGTGTGTCAGCTGGAGGCGCTGAAACCACTCCCACGCGCTGAGCGTCACTATGTCCGTGTCCTGTACTGAGGAGGAGATGTTCGTGAAGGCTGGAAATCTATTGGAGTTCTCCAGCCCTACTCGTTCGCCGGGCGCGTTTCCTCTGGGCGGTGCACCACGACCGGCTCTGGGTCAGCAAGGAAGGGCTCGGGGGCGAAGGTGGCTCGCGGTCTCGGTCGCGAGCTTTACAGCGCCCTCTCCGCTCCGACCTTGCCACTTCCCGGGGCCGTGGACTCAGTGCCTCGCTTGCGCCCTCTCTCCCCGTGGTCCCCTGCTACCCACCCGACCCGTCTTAAAACACGGACCAAGGAGTCTAACGCACACTTGAGTCGGAGGGTCCCCCAAAACCCGATTCATGCACTAAATACCCAACACTTAGAATATTTACAAACAGCACAAACAGCAACTTGCTACATTTATTGGGTGAGGCATTATCCCACCGTCAGGTGCAGGAGAGGCGGCAATATCTGGTGGAGAGTCCGGGAGTGAGGAGGTCGGTAGAGCCTCATGAACCAGCACCAAACGACTGTCCATAAATCTCAACTGTGTCTCCAGGTAGTAAAACTATCTAGAGTAAATTGGGAATTGTTTAGTTAGCTAACAACAACAAAATATCTATGCTATTGCTATCTGATGCTATCTGCGATTAGCAAGTGAACAGCAATGGCTGAGGCGAAGTTTTTATATTGCTGGAGCAGCAGGGGGCGGAGTTAAGCCGGGGTTATGTTTAAGGCGGCCGCGTGACGAAACACAGCCACCTTTTAAAGCATGCCCAGAAAATCCTGAAACAAACATATCTTTAAACACAAATTGATCTATACCTCCAAAATTAAAGCATCTACAGTTGTGAGACTTTTTACTCATTTAAAAATATGCAATTATGACGTAATGTTTAATGAAGAAAATATTAAAATTTACTTTACACGGTCTTTAAGTGACCAACACTGTTGTTAGTGTTAGCCCTAGTATTAACCCTGTTTTAGCACAGACCCATGTCTGTGCGTCACATATGGGCTGCAAAATTAGATTTAAAATTAGATCACCTTTGCCTGAATTGTGGACTTGGCTTTAGTCTCCTGAAAGACTTTGTTGGAAGTGACTTTGAAAGTCCCTGATCTTCACGTCAGCATCATTTAAGACCGTTACTTCCATGGCAATAACACTTGTTTTAAGTTTCATTTATACGGCTTCATAAATTTTAACTGCTGCTCAGAGCTGTGTGCTCTTCACTTACTCCTCAGTATTTACATTTGAGCTGCAGTGTTTGTGCGTCGTTACCCATGGATTATAGCTCACCCGGGAGCAGGCCCTTGTTTTAATTACAGACTTTAACCTGCTGAATCTGATTTCATCTTCTGATAGGTTTCTTGATATGCCCTGCAGCCCCGGGGAGAATCCTTTGTCTCCTCCTCCTCTCTACCTCCAACGCTTGGAGAACAAAAGCATATATTATGCAAATAGACTCAATCCTCATCTCTGAATTACTGATGAGCGTTTCAGCACTAACGGCTTTCCAAGCTGTCAGTAAGAGACAGGAGTAATGCAGAGTGTGAAAGCTGACTACACAGAAGTGGTAATTAGTTTAGCGTGTGGGATAAAGCCTTTGTTGTTCCCTTCAGCCCTTCAAGGATCGCTCTGAGTGGTTCTACGAGCATCTGCTGGCCGGCCAGCCAGACTCAGACATGGTCCATCGTCCAGTTAACGAGAGTGACATCCTGCTCATCCGCAGAGGTACCCAGAACCTCCAGCACCACACCGTTCAGTCATTTGCACTGTTTTTATAGCTCTGACCTGCTGATACCAATAGGCCTGTCGCGATAGTCAATAAATCAATTAATCGCACGATAACTTTTTTTGAGTCGGTAAAAAAAAATACGCCGATAAGTTTCATTTTCCTGCTTGTTTGTTTACTTCGTCTCTCTCCCCTCTGTGCTCCGCTACACAGGAGCTCCGCTGACCCCTCCCCTCCTGTTTTCTTAGTGTGGGAAGAGCGAACTGTCGGTTTAGCGTGAGAGCTCGTTGCTAAAGAGACGCTTCAAAGCAGAACGCGGCTGCAGAAGTGTCGGAGAACTAGAAACTGGATTTCGCTGCGGAGGGAGGGAGGGAGAGAGAGAGAGACTGAGTGAGACAGAGAGACAGAGAGAGAAAGAGACAGAGAGAGAGAGACAGAGAGAGAGAGAGAGAAGGAGGAGAAGGGGTGGGGGCTGAAACTCCCCCAGACCCGCGACAGACTCGTCAAGGCTTTACCTGTAGCTCCCAAAAATAACAGGAAACAAACGCACCGTGTTTTAACAAAACACCCAAAAAGCCTGTAGCTGTCCCAACAACTCCTGAGGAAACTCTGAACTGTCTGATTTCCTCCCGCAGCGCTCTGACTGTCCCCTCCTCACACACACACACACAGACACGTTTGTTCTTCTATCCTCATGGGGACTTTGCATTGACTTTCATTCATTTACCAGTATTTCCTATTACGATTTGACCCTAAACCTAGCCTACACTTTACATGGGATGTGAACTGGGCTRATGTCCCCATAAGAAACAGTGGGTCCTCACCAGGCTGTGTAGTTTGCTTCATCTCTAAAGAGATGCTGCTCTTTAATATTGTTTATTTACTGTCTTAGTTGTGTGTGGTGTTTAATTTACATTTTGTTGTTCTTTGTTTTATTTTTTTTATCCAAGTGCATTTTTTGTTAGAGACTGAGAGTCCACTTTGTTAAACATTCTTTTAAAAATGAAAGTTTATTGATTTATTACACTTACACATTACGCTTTTATAATTATTAGTTGTAAAACGGTCACCAGGCAATATTATCGCTTATCGCAATAAATTTTGAGACAATTAATCGCCCAGCAAAATTTGTTATCGTGACAGGCCTAGATACCAATTTTCTTTGAATAAACTAACCCAATCGAAATCATATGCATTCCAGATTATCTTTCGTTTTAAAACAAATACATCCTCAAAGAAACCTTTTACACTGACAGCATGCACTGCTGCATGCTGATCCAAACTCTGGCAGTGTCCAGAGACACTTAAGCTGAGCTATTTGGCTTTTATTTTGTTTTTGTTGTGTTAAGTTTTTGTTCTTCGTTGTCATGTTGCCTCACATCTAAAACAAGGGCAATTACTTTTTTTACACAGGACCAGGTTAGTTTGGAGAACGTTTTCCTCTTAATAGTCATCATTTTAAAACTGAATTTTTTATTTACTTAGGTTATCTTTGTCTGATATTACCATTTGTTTGATAATCTGAAACGTTTAAAAGTGACAACAAAACAATCTGCAAGAGTTTTTCACAGCACTTTAAGATATGATCATAAAAATACATGTCATACTCTGATGGGGGGAAAATATTTTTGAAATACAAAGCTTTTCTGAAGGTCAGAAATGGAGAGTATACAAGGTGAACTTTTATTGTGGGTGGTGCAGCTGGATGGCTCTGTTGCTTCTTAGCCAGAAAATCTTTTCTGTGTAGAGTTAGCATTTTCCCTTTAATGAAAAACAAGCTTATTGGAGAATATAAATTGCTTTTATGAATGTGTGTGTTTGTTTATGTCTTGTGATTCTGAATTGGTCCTGTTACGGACTGATGACTTGTCAAAGGTGTTCCTACTCCCACCTGTTGACCACTGCAGACAGGCAGGCCACCATCAGTTTCATTTTTTTTCTTAAGCCAAAAACAAACAAACAAAAAAAAACCTCTTCCATCTTTTTTCTGACTGGGATCCAAAGTTATTTGTCCAGCAGCAAAAAAATCTACAGAACGAAGAAAATAAAAAGACGTGAATGCTGAATAAAGTTTGGCGGTGATGAAGAGAGCGGGAGAGCGGGATTAAATTTGTGAAATTATAGCAGCATACACACATTTGGATTTTATATTTAGGGTGTAGTTCAGTGTCTGTAATTTTTAATTCAGTCAGTTTTAGTCAAAACAATGAGCTGCATGGAGCTGAGCTTAGAGGTCTGACTGTGCAGAGCGGGGAACGACGAGGCCCACCCACCTGCTCCAGAACCAAACTGGCTGGTCCAACAGAACCAAGCATCATTTCTGAGATCTGGAGAACAGATTAGGATGTTTATGTTGCCCCAGAGGTAAGCAGGTTCCAGCCACAGAGACCACCTGGAATCCAGTTAGATCCACTTAGAATTCAGAAAATCTTTTTTATTGTTTTAGACACAGTCAGAGCAATCAGCAGCAAAATGTAAAGAGTCAGGGAAATGAGATGAATGAACGAATGAATGAATTTTAATAATGATAATTGTAAGTAATAATAATTTTACATTTCTGTTCATGATGGATTAAGTTTCTCACATTCTTTTCATCTTGTTTTCCATACAGCAACATAATAGATTCCTGTTTTGTTATATTTTATAAATATGTCCAAGTTTAATAATGTGTGGGAAACCCACGATTTTTTGTTTGTTCAGTCAGTATTTAATACAGCTGGCACAATAAATTGTTAAAATGCAATTAATGTGCTCCTTTTCAGCTTATTATAAAAAAGAAATTTGCCCTTCATATTATGAAAGGACCCACTTGATTCAAGAGAAAACTCAGGTTTTTAAGAAAATTTACGTTTTATCAATTAATTATTAGTTTATTGATAAGATCAATCAACTTTAGATTAATTCATTAATTGATAACTTGCATCCCTACTTGGGAAATTCAGCAACCACTGGCAGCTGGTTACACTCAGACCCATCCCATCTGGGCTGGTCAGCCGTCCGTCACAGTGTCGCATTGAGACAAACAAGACACAAAAAAATCAGTCTCTCTCTTGCGTCTAAGGACATGGAGGAATCAAGTAATCCAACATGCATATTTTTGTTCAGTGGGTGGAAACTAGAGTACCTGGAGAAAGCCAACACATACAAAGGTAACATGTAAACTCCACACAGAAAAGCCAGAAGTGAGCCTGTTACTTTTCTTGCTGTGAGACTGCAGCACTTCACCGCAAGTGGATGTCATTATTTTGTGTTTGTTTGATGGTTGTTGTTGGTGTAGATTCTCAGTCATCCAGGACATAGTAATTTCATTTGTTTATTAACCCTTTTTTAATTGGTTGTTTGCAAACTGTCATAAAAAGATATTTATTCTTGTTTGTGTTAATCCTAATTTGGGTCTCTCACACAGACTCAATATTTAGGAGTAGCTGTGAGATGGTTTCCAAGTTGACCAATGAAAAACTGAAACAAGGCATTGCTGTTCGCTTTCATGGCGAGGAGGGAATGGTGAGTTTTACGTTTTGTTTTTATTCTAATAGACTATGAAACGATCCACATAACCACCTTTTCCTCAAGTCTTTATTTGTGCACTGCCCTTTTAAAAATATTAGCCATTGCCCTTTTATTTTAAAACACAGCTTGTCATGAGAAAGTAGTAAATCCAATTGAGAACCAGCGAAAATATAACCTGCCATTGGCAGCAGGTTTTTAGTAAGAGCCTTTAGACTGAAGTCATGGTGGAGTTGGAGCCAATTTGATTAAGCCTTACAAAATGTTGTGCTTTTAATCTCATGAGCAAGATGTGCTGCTCAGAGTATAAGTTGACGATGATCCCTGAGCTACTATCCCATCAAAGTTTAGCTCAATATCTGTAATATTGACTGAGCTATAGCCATTTTTATCGCTAATGTTGATTAGCTGTGTCAGCCATCTTGAATCAGGTTGACTCCAAATGATAATCAGTTGCAGATATATCCAGTGATTACTAAGAGTTTCACTAAAATCTGTCCAGGGGTTCATGAGAGAGTTTGATAGATTCAGTCAGGTATTTATGTGGACACTACTGAAACATAATTATGTTATAGTTATATAATGGACATGGACAAAAAGTCAAGATTTTCAGCTTTCATTTGAGGGTATCCATATTAAAATTGGATACAGGGTTTAAAAATCCAGGTCCTTAACATGTGCCCATTGGACTTTGCTAAAAAAACATCTAAAAAGCCTGTACAGTTCTGGAAGAACATTCTTTTGACCGCTCAACCTCTACCAGAGTGATGGAAAGGAAAAAACATGTTGAAGGCGTGGTACAGCTCATGATCCAAAGCATACCACAGCATCTGTAAAACATGATAGATGCAGTGTGATGGCTTGGGCATGCATGGCTGCCCATAGCACTGGGTCATTACTGTTTATTGATGATGTGACACAGGAAAGAAGTAGTTATATTATAACAATTACATTGCACGTTTATCCAATATTGTATCCAATATTGCTACTCTATTTTCTGACAAGGTAGATTATACAAAAGAAATGTAATTTTATTGATTTAGGATGCAGGTAATTAAAAATAGTCTTTTTTGCAACCTCTGATCAAAAGAGAGAATACATATGATTTATCAGGGACTTCATTTGTGAAACAAGAAGCTACCTTCATATTTTATTTACAGTTTATGTGAACCAGGTGACTCAGTAGTTTTCCTATTGTATACCTTATCTGATCTGTGCACTGAAGATTGTTGTGGCTTTGTGTTGAACTTGTGTTTGTTTTGCAGGGTCAGGGTGTGGTCCGGGAATGGTTTGACATCCTATCCAATGAGATCATCAATCCCGACTACGCTCTGTTTACTCAGTCAGCTGATGGTACACAGCTTTCCTCCAACAGTCACAACATCTGAACAGTAGAATTTAAAGTAAAGAGGATGTTTTTGTTCTACAGGCACAACTTTTCAGCCCAACAGCAATTCATCAGTGAACCCGGACCATCTGAACTACTTTCAGTTTGCTGGGCAGATTCTGGGCCTGGCTCTTTATCATCGACAGCTGGTTAACATTTACTTCACCCGCTCTTTCTACAAACACATACTGGGTAAGATGGACACCAGTATCTGTAGATACTGATTTATAGTAGCTTTAGCAGCAAGTTGTTGTCATGTGCTTTTGGCTCCCAACGTTTTTATTTCAGATGGCCTCTTTTTGCACCAAAAAACAGTGCTCCTCTTGGTCCCGTGCACATACACTATGCTGCCAAAAATATTTGCTCACCCATCCAAATGACTGTGCACCAGTGCACAAAGCAAGGTCCATAAAGACATGGATGGCAGAGTCTGGTGTGGATGAACTTGACTGGCCTGCACAGAGTCTTGACCTCAATCTGATAGAACACCTTTGGGATGAATTAGAGCAGAGACTGAGAGCCAGGCCTTGTGTCCAACATCAGTATGTGACCTCACAAGAATGGTCAACAATCCCCATAGACACACTCCTAAACCTTGTGGACAGCCTTCCCAGAAAGGCTGAAGCTGTTCCAGCTTCAAAGAGTGGACCAACGTCATATTGAACCCTAAGGGTAAAGGAATAGGATGTCATTGAAGCTCGTATGCTAGTCAAGGCAGATGAGACAATACTTTTGGCAGTATAGTGTATTGATGTGCCAACATACAAAGAATAAAAAGCTAATTTATCGGTAACCTTTGTGCAGGGACAAGAGATAAGATTTTTTGTTTTAATTGTGACAATAAACTGAATCCTGCAACATGGTAAATGGGATATTTACCACACAGTCCATATTAGGTCACTCTGGCTACAAAAGAATGTCTTTTTGATAATTCAAAACTTATTTTTTTTATCAGAGAACTCCAGTATACGTTTGTTCTTCTTTAGCTTTGAGTCAGCTTTTAGATGGTACTACAGAGCTACACTTTTTCCTAAAGAGGCGAAAAAATGTATAGGTCACTGAAATAATTAGATTTTTGTTTGCTGATTTTCAGTATTTTTTCTTTTAACTATTGTCAATTTCTGTCATTGCTTTAGAATTTTGTTTCAATAGAATTGTTCAAAAAACAAACTAATGAAGCTGGCCTTGACAAAAAGGATGGTGCTCTTCAAATACTATTTAGTTGCACTTTCTTTTGAGGTAATTGCTGCAGTGGATGTTTTGTCTTTAGCAAAATAGTATAAATCAATTTAGATAAGTATTTATACCCTCACCAGCCACTTTATTAGGTACACTTGTTATGTTGATTGTTACAGTAAATAACAATCACATGGCAGCAACTCTGTGCTTTGGCTTGTTGCCGTAGTCTTTCTCCCCAGTACCAAAGGTGGTTTGTGTTTTTCTCTATATTGTCTTCTTAAAATACATAAATGGGGGTACACTAGCATTTGGCCATAGATTTTTTTTCTGCATAGTTTTCATAGCTCGTTTGTTTCCCACTTTGATTTTAAGAATAGTGTTTAGTTTCCTTTCTCTACTATAAGATGTCTGTGTGATTCTCAGGGATCCCAGTGAACTACCAAGATGTTTCGTCCATTGATCCAGAGTATGCAAAAAACTTGCAGTGGATCTTGGATAATGACATCAGTGATCTGGGTCTGGAGCTCAGCTTTTCTGTAGAGACAGATGTGTTTGGAGCAATGGAAGAAGTACCCCTCAAACCTGGTGGGAGCAGTATCCTGGTCACACAAGATAACAAGGTTTGTCACCACAACACAGAATCAGAATGTTACAAGAAGTGTAAAAACGGTGTGTTGCAACAGTATTCATCCTCTGGTATTTCTGTTTTATTGCTGTACAAACTGGAATGTGATTAGATTTTTGCTGCTTGTAATTATTTTTTTGGCTGGCCTCTTCTGCAGCACTGCGGTTGCCACAGTGAGCAAACCCACGCTGAAAATTCGATAAATGGTCTGTACTTGAATAGCGCTTTATCAAGTCCCTTTGACCTCCAAAGTGCTTCACACTACATTCATTCACCCATTCACACACTGATGATGGTTAGAAGTATACCAGACCCACTGGGACCTCTGACCACTAGCAGCAAGCAAGGCAGGTGAAGTGACTTGCCCAAGGACAGACAGCAGAGCAGGGGTTCAAACCAGCAACCCACCAGTTACAGGACAATCCCCCTACCTCCTGTCACCCCCAGTTTGACAATTGTTTTACACTGGATGACCTTCCTGATGCAACCTGGGTGCAAATTCGCACTTTCAGTATTATTGTTTGCAAGTATTAGTTTTACAAATAATATTTATTTAAAATGTTTAAAAACAATATAAAGCTGAAGAGAGGTGCAATCATAAGTATTCAGCCCCTTAAAATAATCCTTGGTCCCCACCTTCTGCAACAGTTCGAGCATCAAATCTCTATGATCGTGGTTGACCTAACTTTGACAAATTGTCCATTTTTCATGACCATACTGAGGCTCCTTTTAGATTGGATGGGTGCTGCATGTATCCAGCTGCCTTTAAATCCAACCAGAGATTCTCAGTTGGACTTACAGTATGTCTGGGCTTTGACTGAGCCATTCCAGGACCTGGTTCTCAGTAAATTAGTTGAATGTTGCTTTGGCAGTGTAGAGGCTCATTGTCCTGCTGGAAGGTGACCCTTCATCCCAGTTTAAAATCTTTGAAAGACTCCAACAACAAGCTTTTGACAGCAGCGACTAAGGAGCATACTGAACAAGTTTAAAGCCGATCTTTTAAATTTTCTAGGGTCCTGTTCAAATTTGTTGTTCCATGCATGGCCTGCCATGATGGGCAATAAATCAATTAATCTCATGATAAATTAAAATGAGGTTCATAAAAAGATTAATGAGGTTGATAATTTTCTCTTCATACCTATCTGATCAAAGTTTTGATGTTTATGTATATGGTATCATGTTGGACGCTACCAAGCTGATTATGGTGTACCACAAGGTTCAATTTTGGGACCTATTCTATTTATGCTAAATGTTCTCCCCCTTGTGCAGGTAATTCAGCAATTCAAAATTGTATAATATCAGCTCTATGCTGATGATACTCAGCTCTACTGCTCCTTTAATAAGAGTGAATTTCACAAGTAAAGTGTTAAATAAATTGTTTAACTAGCATTAAACAGTGGTTTAATGACAATTACCTACAACTGAACCCAGATTAGAACTGAATATTGTGCTAGAAAATAACTTTCCTCAAATTAAAGTTTATTGGTGTCTTAGGTCCATCTGTTCAGTCCTGTCTCAAAAACGTGCGTGCCATTTTTGTTTCTGTAATGTCTCTGAAACAACATGCAAATCAGTTGACTAGAAATTGTCACCTACATCTTAGGAATATCACAAAATTTAAAAATTTCTTGACAAAAGCTGAACTTGAAATGATCAGTTGTGCATTTATTTCTTCTCATTTGAGCATTTATTTCTTCTTGTTTAAACGATTGTAATTTTTTTCTTGCTTTTGTTGTGAACTTTGTGATTTTATATCTATGAAAGGTGCTATAAAAATAAACTTTACTTACTTACTTACTTACTTACTTACTTATTAATTAATTAAATGAAAACCAAAAAAATGTTATTTCTTTTATTTCTTTTATTTTTCATTTTTTTGTTTCAAACAAACAAACAAACAAAAATAACTGCCTGAATGTACATGGACTAAATTCCTCCATGAGACCATTAATTTTGCCAAATTTTACTATTACTAATACTACTACTAATATTAATACAAACAACCACCACCACTGGTACACATGCCTAATAATTCTATTCATGTAAATATATTTATGTTTCATAAATCTAATTCTGTTTATTTTAAATAAATTGTAGCATGAAGGTCCTCTCTTCCAACATGACCTCTTGACCCTACAGGTCACGATTTCTCGAACTGAACAATGTTCTGAAAAAGCTTTCTTAGAGACAAACTTTGGCCCAGCTTTTCATTAATCTGTCCTTGTCATGCAGATCAAGCTAATAAGCTGTCTGTTCTATTCTTTTGTGATTAATAATAAAAAAAGAAAGAAAAGAATCATTACATCATTTTTTATTTTTAAGGGTACTATTTAAGTCATATTGATTACACTATTTGAACTTGATCATTGATCTGAATTGTTATTTCTCTCATTTTTTTATACAGCAGGAACAGCTGTGTTCAGCATCACCATGTCGAAGACCAATCAAAGTGTTTTCCCAAAAGAAATACTTTGATCTTTAACAGTGACCCAGAAAAATTATTTTGAAAAAAAAATCTAATTTCTTCAGCTTTATTGCTGAAGCTTCGAGACATTTTTAGATGAATGAGCTAACCATCGGAAGGAGAAATGTAATCGTTTAATTTTAAACTGCAGAAGTTTTCGAGCTGACCCTGGACAGGGTCCAGCTAGCTAGAAAGCTGACTGAGGCTGTTTTTAGTGGGAAGCCATATGACGTCCATACAGAACGTGCTCCCTGCTCTGAAGTGATGACCCCATGGACTAAGTTGGTCTAGACCCTAATGCTGAGTTCACACCAAACGCGTTTTGAGCATCAGGTGTCTGGTTTACATGCAAAGTCTATGGTGGACTCACGTCGATGGGTGTCGGGAAGTGCTGCGGCACATAATGACGTATCGTGTGTCGAACGCTGGAGTTGGAGAATCTGAACTTTTGCAACTCGACACAGAGCATCAACCAATCAGAGAGACTCCACTGTGTGACGTAGTGGCACATTTTCTGACGGGATAGTTTCCTGAATGGTGCCTATACTAACTTAAGACAGACGGTCAGGAGCTCTTCAGCTGAAATCGAGTGTTGGACGCATTTTTGATGCTCAAATCGCGTTCGGTGTGAACGCAGCACAAGATAAATGCATCCAACGGTTAGCTACCCCACCTCCGAAGAGACAATTTGTCTCCAACCTGTAGGTGAGAATGTCGAGCTGTACCTCTAAAGGCATCACAAATGTTTTGGAAAGCAGGTCTGGGAAATTAATAGCCTGAGGCATTTAGATAAATAAGTAACTTTTAATCTGACCAGATTCATAATACCTTTTTGTCCAAATTGACAAAACTTTACAGTTTCTTAAACTGGGTCATTTGTCAATTACCGGTAACTAAAAGAAGACAAAAATATTTCCTTTGGGAAAATATATTTGTTCATTCTTAAAAGGGTTTAGCATCAACCTTATTTTAAACTTAGACTAAATAGCATCGAGTCTACTTTAGTATTATTATTATTATTATTTTACCTTTAAGTATTTTCTAAACCTGGGGGAATAAAGTAATGCTCAGTAAAAAACTGAACTGGTGCCCCCTACTGGTAAAAACGGTGTAGAATGGGTGGAGAAACAGGATCACTCTGTTTCTCCTCTCATTTACTTCCACAGAACACATTACTGAAGATTTACAGAATCTGTGGTTTTGAAGCTGTTAAAGTATTTTTGTTGTTTTCTGTTGAATTGTTGAGCTGTTTTAAGTTCTCTGGCTTTATGTTTAAAAGTATGTAGTACTGCAGTGTTGCTGCAGATGGTGCTGTATTATTGGCTGTGATCAGCCTGCAGCACAGTGAATAAATTACTCATGAAGTCTATCCATGTGTGTTTCCTGAAGACTTTGATCAGTGTGTGCATTGTGTTTTCAGGCGGAGTACGTTCAGCTGGTGACAGAGTTAAGGATGACACGAGCCATCCAGCCTCAGATAAACGCCTTCCTTCAAGGATTCCACACCTTCATCCCACCATCTCTCATTCAGCTTTTTGATGAATATGAATTGGTACGTTCTCCTCCACCCCGCTCTCATCTGCTGCTGGTATCCTAGTTCTCTACTGTGTGACATCTCAGGTGGGGTTGGTTATCAATGTTTGGATGGGATGGGAGGCTGGGGTGACTTAGGAGTCCTTGAATTTCACTACAATGGGCAGCAGAATTGGAAAACTATTTTAGGGCCTTGATTCTACTATTCAGCTTTTGTTAAAGAAAAGATTAGTTTTCCTTTTTTTCTGTACACATTTAAAGTAAATTACTTGTATGTGTTTATGGCGATACATGGGAGTTGCTTAATTAGGGAAGAATCCTTAAATAATAAAATTAAATATCGATTTGAATAATACTGTAATCAGGATTATTGAAAACAATTGTTCATTAGGTTGGAAAACATTTTTCATGTTTGCTCCAAAAAACAGTGAATTGGTTTGAAGATGAATTTTCTTTGATCCATTCCTGTTTGAACTTGAAATAACTGGCAAGTGTTTGCTCAAATGTAGACTACTGGGTAAATTAAATAAACACTAATAAATCAGCAATATACTGCATTTTCAATGTTTTTTGAAATTTACTTATTCAAAATACATTTTTAGTTTTCTGAGTTCAATGT